AGCAAACAGGAAAATACAGACAGTCAACTTTAAAGGCAATAAACCTGCAACTTCTGCTTTTTGCCCAGTTACTAGTGTGGTTACAAAGGGGAACAATGGAAGAGCATTTATAGTAACTGAAACTACTCTGAATAATAAAGGCTATTCTTTAAAACGCACATACATACTAACCTCACTTGAAATCTCATACCTATTCATATAATGCACTTCACATATGTCTATTTTCTCTTTATCTTGAATTAAATATTTCCTTGTCCCCTGTATCTTGTTTCACCTTGGTTGTTTATTATATGGCACACACAAACCTTGACTTTAGCAGCCTTGTCTGCAGCATTAACCCTTTCTAGCAGTTGCCTGGTGGGTCCAGTCAAATTGTGATCTTCTTCAGTCCTGAGGTATAGCACCAGTGGATGGCCCTCTGGATTCTTCACAAAAGCTTCCTCGCAATCCTCCACCACAGAGCTACACACATGCATGAACATCAGACTATATTTTTTCTTCATTTATTTATAAATAAACAATATAAGTATTGTACAATCTTTATAAAACATGGGGCTATCCTGGTGTGGATAGGTATAGGACTGTACCTTGTGACAGTAGAATTGAGCAGAAGAACACACACAGAGCTCCTTTCAATCTCCTGTTTGCGCTCCACAGTGTATGAGGCAGAACTCTCCTCTGGGAAGCAGACATTCAGGAAGAAATGGCCGAGACCCTCACACATTTTCCGTAACACAGGAGAGTGTTTCTGTAATAAAAACACGAAGCAAAGATTTCCCAGACAAGGATTGGTGGCAGTTCTCTACAAAAGTGTAATTTTAAACAAGGTTAACTCAGTGTCTGACATTCAGACTACTCTTGAATTGACCAAACTAATTTCCTGAAGGTAGATTAAATGCAGTCTCAAAATGAATGCTGTCTGTCAGTAGAGGTACATTGATTATTTTGTCTATTTACTGTAAGTGAGTGGTGCAAGAGCAAACACCTAAGTACTAAGTCACATGTTAACCCAAGGTTAAATATTCTTGCTATTCTAGTCCTATTCCTGTGTTACTTTAGGCTATGTCACTGTCACAGTATACCAAGAGAACAAAATATTTACAGTTTGTTGACTTACAGTGCTAATCTCACCAACCTTAATAAAGATATCAAGCTCAGCTTTGGTCTCCTTGGTAAAGATTAGGTAGCACCGCACTGTGTTACTCCATAAGGCCTGGGGCACATGAGGGGAAACTTGAAGCAGACTGGCCACAGCAGCATCCCAGTCATCTGACACAAACACACACATGACAAAAGTTGTGAGACAGACACATGATACTGCATACTTCAAAGGTTATCCATATACAAGCATACATATACACCTATTAAAAAAGTTAGAATACATATAGTAAGTAAAGGTCAATTTCTCTAAAAGTATAATTATTTTCCAGCATCATATATATATGGGGCTACTTCTGCCCTGCCTACAACCTATATCATGATGTCTCCTTCCTTCCTACAGACTTACTGAAGTTTACTTACCTCGGCTCACATTTGCAAAGGGTCCCTCCACGTCTATCAAACTGTGAGCAAACTCTGGTCCCCGGAAGGTCTGTTGTAACTGCATCATGCTACCCATAGAGGGCTCACTTCCCAGCACACCACCAGACCAGTATTCACACTGTGTCCCTGCAGCTAAAGACATAATAAATAATACAATGTTCTTGAAGATTACGTCATACAAAACAAGATCATAAATTTTGTATCGTAATTGCAAATGAATACTGAAAGGATGAATAAAACAAAGACAAGAAAAGGTCCCAACATTGTGGATTTCTAGATCTTACCAGTGACAGTGGTTTGGTTATCATCTGAGTCAGAATCATTTGGGTCGTAGACCTGGATGCCCTGAGCCTGCAACTGTTGCAGTTTGGCCTCCAAGTCCCTCTTGGCTCGCAGGAGATCCTGAATTTCCTTTTCTTTTGTCTCCCGGAAAATCTGGTGGTCATTTAGCTAATTGGTTAGGTCTGCACACAAGATTAGTAGAGGGAATGCTACACATTAACATTTGTGCTGTGTTTTACCTTAAATTGTCGTTTTACTTTGTCCCTGTCATGTTCAAAGGTGGCAGCCCTTTCCATAGCTTGGTACTTTGCCTCAAGAGCACTCTCTTTTTCCCGAAGGATCTTCTGGTAGGTCTTCTGCAGAGCCTGTTGTCACATTGACAATAATGAACACCATCATAAAAACTTAAATGTTGAAGCCAAAAAGCTTGTCCTGTGATCTGGATTTGAGTAGCCTCCAGTCCCAGCACCCCCTAAAAACATTCCTAGCCTAATAAAAATCATCAAGTAAACTTTTGACTTCCTACTTTCTTATTGGGTTTTCTATGCATAGTGCACTAGTTTAACATTGTTTTTTAGCTGCTTATCGTAAATAGTGTATTAGTCTAATATACCTCCATTTAGAGCATCCTACTAAACTGAAGTCACCAAAGTTGTCATGGCACATGGTCAGACCGACTGAGAGTTCAATCCACTATCACAACAGGATGTGTGGACTGGTTATAGATCTAGATTATGAACTACATCTGGTAACTAACTAACTTTTTAAAATAGGGCAGAGTATTAATAGACTGAGTTTCTCTCAGCACCCCCAACTCTGACCGACTTCAAGCATTCCCTGCTCCAGTTAAATAGTTACCTGTAGCTCAGCCCTCAATCTCTTGTTCTCCTCATCAAGCTTGGCCTCCTTCTTTTGCATGGATGAGATCTCATTATTCTTGCTGACACGGAAGATTTCGTACTCTTTACGGAGTCTTTCATACTCAGCAGCGTACTCCAGATCCACAGAACCTGTGGATTTGAAACTGGCCCCGATCACCCGAGGTCCTCTGCGAAAGGAACTGCGCAGGAGTCGGGCTTTGGGCTTGACCTCCACTGGGATCTCACAGGCTTCCCCACCTTCACCCCCATATCCATCCTCAATCACCTCTCCCGGGCTGACCAGAGAGGATGCGGTGCCCATGGTGGCAGCCTAAGCTGTAAAATAGTACTCAGCCTTTTCGGACGCCCATAGCTGCTCCTGTGCGATGACAGACAGGACAGGGATGCAAAGTGACAACCACTGAAATGTTTTCACCGACCGAGGCTGTGGGAAATGATTGTGATTGGCATTTGTGTGGCATCTAATTTGGTTTTCTCCGTGCTGCATAACAAACGCTGAAACAGCAAACCTAGTCAATGTTTATAGTTAACATTACAGCCACCAAGCTAACTTTCTCCTACAAAAGCACATGAGAAAAAGCTCACACGAGGGTTATTTTTTAGAGAAGAGACCCAAGCTACAAAAAGGTGATTTAAGGCTAACAGGTTTGCAGCTGTTTGCTAATTATTCCTGTCTGACCAATAACGATAAATTAAGTTGTAACTTAGCTAACGTAACGTTAACAATACAATATTTAGCTCTTCAACAAGCTCGTCGTGATATTTTTCCTGGTGTAAAGACTGAAGGAATGACACAGTAACTTCTGTACATGTTATAGCTTCAACATAATGTTCACTAAAACCCAGAGTTTGGTTTAAAACATATGAAGCTAGGTTAAATAAACAACAGTACACTTACGGTCAGCTCCGTTCACAGCTTCTTCCTGGCTGCCTTGGTAACAAGGTACGGGTAATACTGGGTAAGTCTTTCGCACAGGTCAAACTGGGGTAAAAGTCAATTCAAATTTGTCTTGAGACACAAATATTATTTATTATTACGTTCAAAAATGTAGGTGTGACATTTAGTTATTGACACGTATCATGTTTTCAAATGCAGTTATATATATATATTTTTTTGATTAAATATATTTAACCCAGACCCATTTTTCTTGAAGGAAAATTATAGGGGATATACCACAGACCAAGTGAAACTCATATACCACATTTCTGATGTTTTTTCTTTTTAAATGTCAAATATTTGTTTTGTGACATATGAGTCACAATGGGCGTTTTTGGTAAATAAATACTCTATTAATACCTTAATAATTTGACATTAATTTTTTGTTTATATTTCTTCAAATATACTTTAAATTGAACAACAGGGCATATATTAATTCTAAATAATTGAAACAGTGAAATTAATTGAGGGGCTTATTACCTTCTTTGTTATTGTTACACAGACGTCACATCAGATTTTCCATGACAACAAAAGCCAGATGTGACGTATACGTCACAGCAACATTTTCGTAACTTGTTTTATATTATTTTGTTCAGGAAATATGGTCAGAACAGATTAAATGCAATACAGGACATACTATTAAAGCATTAGAATTGTTAAATGGGTTTAAACTTACATTAGTAACAAAAAACAAGCTTTATAAATTTAGCCATTTCCTTAATTTCTGTCATTTCAGTCACACCCACATTTAGGAGGGGACACTTTCCTGTCACAGTCACATGATTGTCATATGACCACCACACCAGTATGTTTTGTAGATGTCACTTAGGGACTTAATGAGTTAAGGTTAAGCATAAAGCTGTATATGGAAGATTCAGGGACATTTAAAGTGTTTGTGACACACGTGTCACCATAGGTTCTTATGGGTTAAGGAAGTGAAATCTGTTATGCAAAACTTTTGTAAGATATAAAGGGGGCCTGCATTTTCTAAAAAATCCTTACAAAAAACCAACAATCTAGGAATATAAAAAGTTGTGAATTTTTATCTATTTTGTAAAGGCTGGCTCTATGGTGATAGTTATAATAAACTGTGGGAATTAGAGGCCCTCATTTCAAAGCTTGATTAAAAATAGCCTACATAAACTTGTGTCACTGTGTATGTGTAGGAGGAGTTGCTGATAAGATAAGATAAGTTTTTACCTCGTCAGTAGTGATCTAAAAGTGGAAATACAATGTCACTGTTTCAGTTTCACTGATATTTTATGGAATGTCTGAACTGCTGTACAGTTAAGTATATGTTTTTTGTACTTAATGTTTAGGTTACCATAACAAATATATTAGAGGAATCTTACACCCAATTACACAAAACATTTTTTTATTCTTAATGTTGGAAAACTAACACACAACCAGAGCATCATATTTGACGTACTAAGGTTCTCCAAACAGCATGTTTGTGTTCAACAGCACTGACCACCACATTACTTAGAATTCAAGAGTCATAAAGTCATAATAAGGAATAATTATTACTTCCTCTGCATTACTTTGAATTACTTTGTAACCCACTTCCGAAATCACCAAGTTGAACCAAGGTTGAATGCATTTATGTACATGTTAAAATAGTGTCCATATTTGTTACTTATTGATCATCTTCCCTGTTTTTACAGAACAGCTGAAGCAATTTGTTCCTGTATGCACGGTTCAGGAAAAAATACATCACAGGATCCAGTACACCATTAACACAGGTCAGTGCAGATGTAATCCGATTGGCCCTTCTCAGTGACTCATAGCTTGCTGCAGTCAGTTGGTCAAGACTGTGGCTTTTGATGTAGATGATCCTGCTCACATGGTAGGGCACAAATGCAAACAGGAAGTTCATCACAATGAGGATGATCATTTTTATAGCTTTGTCTTTCACTGGTCGTTCCTCGCGTTGCTTCAATGTCCTTAATTTCAACAAAATCAGTATGTAGGAAACCACTATGGTGGTGAGGGGAATGATGAATGCCACAACAGTGGAAATCAAAGCTTTGGGTGATTTATTTTCTAAGTACAGCATGGTGCAGACACCAGTTGAGTTGTTGGTCATATTCTTTTTCAAGAAAAGTAAAGGACTCATAGACAAAATAACTATCACCCAGAGTATGCCAACAACTACCTTTGCATACATAGCCTTCCTAACTGACTGTGACCTTAAAGGTAGAACCACAGCCAGAAATCTGTCCAGGCTGATAAAACTCATTAAGTATAGGCTGCAGTACATGTTCAAGTAAAAGAGGAAGCCTGCAAGTTGACAGACTACATGTCCAAAAGGCCAGTGGCTGTCAGACAAGTGGTAAACTATACGCATGGGTAAAATGAGGATATAAGACAGGTCTGCTACAGACAGGTTCTTCAGGAAGACCTTAAATGGAGACGTACTGTCCTGGTGAAAGAAGGCCCACAGTGCCACGGCATTACCAGGTACAGCGATGATGAAAATGAGGATGTAAAAAGTAGAAAAGATCACATTTTCCTGGGGGGATTCACTGCCAATGGAGCCCCATATTTCCTCCTCAGAGATGTTCATTGTTGTTGTGGAGAGGATCAGCCTGGTACAGCATAGAGACAAATAACTGATGACTGAATGACAGCCTAACACCAGGTGATTTTTTTGTGACTCATCAAATCATACATTGTTATCTCATTACAAAACTAAGACTGCAGGATGTAGGCTACACATGACAACAGGATGACTTGCACAGTGTGAGAAATACTGTGTCTTGTAAATGAGGTTTGTTAAAACAGGAAATGCCCTGGCAACATGTCAGCGTAACCAGTCTTGTATATTTTTTTGAACACCCGAAAAAGATTTCTCACGAATAAGCTCCTTTGAAGAGCTAACAAATGTGTTTATCAGTTTAAGTAGTAAAGAGAATTTTCAGCACAAATCAGAAATGCAAATTAAATACAAGATGTAAACACGTGGGATACATTTCTTTAGATAAAATAATTAAATATGTATGTTGTCTCTTTTATGCCACATCATGTGGTAATTGTAGTTGACCTTCACTTACAATGATGTGATGAACTTTAAAATGCACCATTCAGTGCATAAGTTTTACCAATGAAATTATACATATTGACACTTAACCTCTAAAATTGATTTGAAACAAGTAGAAACACAATTTCAAACACAAAATCAAAAGATTACTTTAAGCGCTCAGTGACAATTAAAAATAAATTGACTAAATGTTTTAGGTCAAATTCTTAAATGTACAAAATGTTGCTATGTGCTCAAGTATGGTTTGTAGTTAATGCACCACTAATCTGTGTACTTTTCTATATAATAATGTAATCCAATGCAAGATTATAATAGTAAATTTTCACTGTGTAAATAACAAATATTATTCATATTCATCTTCTTACCTGTATTTGTAGAGATAAAAACGGCAGTTTTTGTTATCCACTGAAAATAGAATACGAAACATTTGAAGTGGAAGTGAGAACTGCTCTTTGTTCCTGCATCTTCACTTATATATATATATATATATATATATACACACACACACACACACACACACATTAACACAAACACCCCTTCAATCTTAATCACACAGGAATTAAACAGGAAACCCGAAACACAAAACACTGAAGCTCAATGCATTACAAGCATGCAAGTCTTTATTTTTGCTACTCCAACACAGTTTTGTCTTTACCACATTGCTCCTTTATAGTATGATTTAAAGCTTTACAAAAATGAGAGAAAACCAGATATTTACAAAATCTATCTGTGCAAACATAATTCTTCTTTTACACCACTCTCCTAAAGTATTTGAAAGGCATGCATACAAATAAACTTTGGTATGTTAAAAAAACTACTTATTTTCTTAGTAGAAGCATCTATGTACACGTGGTAGAACCAATTCATCACTTTGTTTTTAGTACAGTTTACATTTAGACAACAATACATGTTAACTTAACAAACTGCGACCAACAGTACAAACACTGTGGTCAACACTTCAGCCATCACACACTTAAATTCCCCTAAATCCTGTGAGTGGGTTAGGCCTGAAGTGAATCATTGTACAACAACTTTGGCAAATAGGCACACTAAATGAAAACTTGTATTACTTATGATACCACTTTCACACATCTGTAAAATAAATTGGCAGTTCATATGGGTGAGAAATGAGAAAATACTCTTAGAAAACAGAGATTAACAATGAATTAAAATTTTAAATGTCTGTATACACCATGTATACATTCATAAAAGGCATTTACAAGGGCTGTGTTGAATGTCTGGCAACATAGGAAATATAGAAGATTAAATATACTATGGTTATTCAATCTCTGGTTTGAAAAATAAAAAAACATTTTTACATGGTATGTTGTGATTGTACATCAACTCTATATTCCCTAGTCATAGCTACAGCAAGAAAAATAGATTTTCAACACCATGAGAACCTTCCACTTCAACTACAAAGTGGTAAAACTAAATATTTTTTAGTTACATTATAAAATAGAACATCTGGTACACCTTCAATAAAGAATCAGAATCCCAGTAAGTAATGCAACTTAAAGGAGATAAAAGCATTGGTGTGAGAAAGCCAGTGTCAAATAAAACATGAATTGGGAGAGTGCATCACTTAATACTTTTACAAAAACTTTAAAACACAGAAAAGAAAAACAACAAACCCTAACTATATAAAATGACACATGACCAGATCTACCTGCTATGCGGTAAAGCCATGGGGCGATAATGGAGCTAGGTAGTGTCCTTAGCTGCTGTGGCTGTTGGGATGCAGGATTTGCCGCTGCTGCCGTTGTGGGACCTGTAGTTGGTGAAGCTGGGGGTGTGTATGGTGCGGATGCTCTTTCCACCTGGGCCCAAAGGTGTGGGCGACAGAGGGGAGGGGGAGGAGGAGGATGAGGAGGAGGAGAATGAAGAGGAGGAGGAGGAGGAGGAGGAGTGCACTCGACCATTCTGCGAGGAAAACGAAAGAGCTTTACCGGTGTGCTGTGAGGGTGTGGGGAGTTTGAGGGATCCGTTAGACAGGGAGGGGATGTGGGAGGAAGGTAGGGAACCGGAACGAGGAGTGTGAGAGGACAGGATTGAGGATTTTGTCACAGAGGAGGAGGAAGAGGAGGAGGAAGGGTTAATGGGATTAGTAGCATCGGAGTTTTGTGCAGACTGGGAGCTGCCTTTAGTAGAGCTAGGATAAAAAGCAGGGATTTTAGAGATGGGTATAGTAGGGGAAGTAGTCTTATGATCCCCTCCCACTCTTTTAGCACTTCCGTTAGCCTGCAAACAGAGATGCCAAAACAGATACTGGTTGTCAAAAAAGAAATCTGGTCAAATAATACATGTAAAAGGTAAGGCGATGTTAAAAAACTACATGTTATACACATAGAAACACACTATGACTACACAAACATTAATATTACTAACACACAACTAAAAGACACCAAAAACAACATGTACAGAAGATCTGTTTTTACTAGGTTACATGAAAGGTGAGACACATGAGACATGTTACCAAGAAACTGCAAATGTTAGACAGCGTGATGACAGACAGCAAGGGCATCTTTACAGACTGCCTGAGTTAGAGGGATTGTTAGGCCTTGTACAGGGGCTGTGGGGGGAAAATTCATAAGGGATGCATAGGAAGCCTGGAGAGAGTTAGATAACAGGGTTAGGAGTTTGAAGAGTGAGAGCAGACAGGGGAAATGTGGGCCAGTAATCCACTGAAATTGACGGTGCAAGATGGTGAGTTGTGGCGAGGTCTTGAGGGCAAGGAAATATATCACCGTGAGGTTAAGAAGCTATGCAGTAATGTTGGGTTTGAGCAGGGGTGCGTTGTGAGAAGGAAGGTGCATAGCTGAAATGTCAGTTTGTATTTTAACATAGCCATAAGCATCCTGGGATTTTAGCAACACTGTTTAGGAACTCGCTGTGATGGGAACTGGAGATGTGATGACAACTCAGATGATGACAGGATAGGATTCCACTTTTCTTTGCCATTTTTCCAGATTTTTTTGTTTAGTCACCAACACAGTGAAACCATGAGCAGTGTGGACATGCAGAAGCATACAGTACAGTGATGTTATGGGGTAACAGTCAAGAGTCAAGCATGCCTTCTTGTCGAGCAGACTCGAGAGAAACATTAACAGATCCACAGTCGCCACCATGGTGACTTTATTTTTTTCAAAACACTTGAAATCTCACAGCTTTGGTAGTCTTTTTTCCCCTAATAATACATGCCTCATGTTTTCGATCCCTATATGTTTGTTTCTTCTAGTCTCTGGTAAGGCCCTACAGTAAAACTACCTGTCGGAACTGCCTCTGAGCGTCCTGCAGTTTTTGCTGTTTTCCTGCTTTGTCAGTAGTACCCGGCGACTGCCTGGACTTCGCAGACAAAGGGACGGGCATCCGACTAGTAGGGGAAGCGACACTGGTATTCTGCAAGGGGATCCAAACGAAAAACAAAAGAAGAAATAAAACAAAAGAAAGAAAAAAAAACACACACCATATAGGAAGTATGAAAAATCAAGGCACTAACAGGTGAAAGAACCTGTTCATTCAACACCTCATTGATCAACACCAGTGAAAGATCATGCACCCAGTGAGACCATAAATCTTTAAGTCAATACACAGTTGTTCATGCAGTCAAGAATAAGGAAGATATCAGAGCTTAATCATCAGGACTCTGTCTTTGATGATGAGTTTGTCACTTGCTGAAAACCTCAGAGTTTTAGCAGTGAACTGAAGGAGAAATATGGTAGCCAAGAACCCAACAAAATGCCACCCCCAATCATGTCACCATGATTTCACAGAGGGAGAAAACCACAGGGGACATTTCCAAAATTTCCAAGCACCTGTGTAGGGGATTAATGATTTTGTAATTTCAGTGGTTAGGGTTGGAGTGAAGGCAGGTTTTAAACTGAAAAAGAAGGACCCATAGCCTCCCGGAGCAACAAGAGCTAGAGAGAGACCTGTTGTACAGTGCTCGGGACACTGGGGACAGTGGTGGTGATGGTGGTGGTGGTAGTAGGGATGACTATAGGGCGAGGAAGGAGCTGAGGTTTAGTCTTCTTCAGCAATGAATTTTTGCTGGGTACCTTAGGGCCTGACCCTCTGGAGGTAGGGAGAGAGGAAGACCTCTTCAGCCCCACTCCCTCTGAGCTTTTCCCATTCCCTGCTTTAGCTTCCTCTTTGTAGACTGGCTCCCCAGGGGAGTGTGGTCCCATCTCACTGATAGTGGTCTCTAGCTGCTTGATGGTCTGCTCCAGGCTGTCCAGTGTCTTGTAGGTATTCTCCCGGATCTCATTGGTCCTGCCAAGGGACTCAGAGTTCTGCCTCTTCAGCGCAGCTGAGCCTGTTACCTTTGGCGTGTCTGCTAAGGATTTTGAGCGTGTAATCTCAAATCTCTTTGCTTCTTTGTGCTGCCTGATAGTACCGTCACATTCCTCCTCGTCTTCATACACAACCACCTGTAAAGTCTTCTTGCCTGACTTGGTGCCAGTGCGAATCGCCTGGGTCAATGCCACCAGCTGTTTCTTAGGGAACTTAAACTTGAACTTCTTTTTGCCATCCTGCTTGCCGTCACCATTTGACTCTAAGTTCACTCCGCTGTCCGTCAGCTCAGAGATTGAAGATGAGGATGAGGATGATAAGCTAATGTGGTCTGCATTGACCTGTGAAGAGCTGACTTTTTTGCCATCAGCGACCTCAGTCCCTCCAGATTTTACCTGCAGCCCACCACTCCTCTCTGTATCAGACTCCTCACTCTCCTCCTCAATGCGCTCTTCTGCTAGCATCCTGTCCAGTTCCTCCTCACATTCAAAGATGGTAGACAGCCGCTTGTAAGCTGAACGGATGTCCATGGGCTCATCAAAAATGATGATGACGGGCTTCTTACTGAAGCCATTATCCTGTGGCAAGGAGGGATCCGCTGTGGTGTTCCCTCGGTTAGAGGCACTACCTACAGTAACGGTCTGGACACTTCCTTTCTTGGCGTTCACCAGTTCCTGGTACTCTCCACAGGACAGGGCCTGAACTTTGGTGTTGGTGATCATAAATGCTATGTTATCAGGGGGTGGAGGTGCCTCTTCTCCAGGTAAGTCAGGACTAAGACTTGCCTCCTCATTACCCTCATCACAGGTAGCTTTAGGTGGATTACGGTCCTCACTAGGAGCCTTTTTTGGTGGAGCAACAGAACTTTTAGGTGCCTCTCTTATGGCATTGGTTGTGGTGGTTGCCACAGGCTCAGGTATTATATTCTTACTAGAAGAAACATGTTGCTCGATGATTTTACTTTTCTTTTCAGTGTTAATCTTATTTAGGATTTTTCCCTTCTCCATTTCTGCACTGGTCTTCAAGGATTCAGAGCGTTTAACTTGCTTCCTTGGAAGTTTGAATGCTTTCAGTCCCACAGGCTTAGGTGATATAGGTGGAGGTGATTTCGGCGGTGGAGACATGGGTGGCTGCTGCTGCTGCTGCTCGTTTGGAGAATTGTCATTAACATTGACATTTGACACCTGTG